GAGGACTATAGAGTGAATAACAGGGCCGGTGCCAGATCTCTGTAAAACTCGATTCCGAAGAGCTCTTTATTAATATGACGCCAGTACCAGGAGCCAGTCCATGAATTCGCGTGCAGCCTACGCGTTTAGAAATGAAAAAAATATGTCACACAGAACTCACGAAACTAAATCAGATTTTATTTGATTGTACCCCTACGCGTGTCATTTCCAAAGAAGGATTAACTGCTCCAGGCTCTCGGGTTGCTTTGTAATAAAGCAGATGTATCTACAGTTCTTCCTCTATTTCAGTCCCCAGTCCTTCCATGGCCCATTAATATTCAAATGCCTTTCCAGCCTAGGGGCAGGTCAGCAGCAAAAATTAGTAGAATAAATAGTTGTCTACTCGAATATAACGCTGTGTAGGCCGTTTACATCAACCGACGTTTCGGAAGAACATGCCTTGTATTATTCTTCGACGGTGAAGATGGAGGCGACATGTTCCTCCGAAATGTCAGTTAACTTTCAACAGATTGTAGAGCGTTATATTTCAGAATATAGAACTTTCCATAAGTACCACTGTGAGAACCTCAATTCCTGCAACGGGAACCTGAGCTCCAAATATACAGGGTAATTCCTAGTAGTATATCCCTGCGGAAACCCCGACAGTAATTTAGAATCACTCTGCAGACCGAAAACATGGCTACAGGTTTACTTGATTCTAAATTTTTGTCTGCTTTTCTGGAGGGACTAATGAATTACTCTATTTGCCAGGGCCGCAAACTACCTGAGTTCGACGCTGATTGTTCTTGACCGGAAAATATTTGTAACACGTGAAATTACTCTCTTCATGTATTTAATTAACCTTCTTATTGGTTTACAAATTTACATTGCGGTTTGGGACACACATGGATTGTGTGCAGTCTGAGAGTTCAAGGTTTCCTTGTGCCCAAACACAATACAATGCAAAGCAGTTGTACTCAACCTGAATATCAAATGAACTGGTCGCCTTTATGCAACTCCTGGATTTATCCCAGAGAAAGGCAGAGCAGTCTTTCTGGGGTCCGAGTCCCTTTGTACTTGCGGCCACATTTTACTGTCTCAGAGTTTGTCTAACCCGTGTGGAGGCGGAGACGAATACCTCCACCATGACCCTGCGAGTGGTAGGAGGCGACGCAATAGGAAGTCTCAAAACTGAGACAGTAAAATATGGTCGCAAGTACCAAGGGACTCGGACCCGAGAAAGACTGTGCTGGCAAGGGCCAGCAGCAGATACAAAAGGCAGACCTGTCCTCTCGTCAGAGAGGGCACCCCACAGAAACAAGACTGTAACTGTCACACAATAATAAATATCTGGTCATGAGCCCCAGATGGGTCTCGACAACAAGACTTACTGACTGACTGACCGTCAGTCGCAATGTGACTTTGACTTTGAACGAATTAGCTATTAGTTTGCGAGTCCGGCGGAGAGGGTCAGTTGATTGGAGTGGAGCGAGTGTGTGTGTGTGTGTGTGTGTGTGTGTGAAGGAGAGGGTGAGTTAGTGAGTGAGCGCCGCTCGAATCACCCCCATTAGAAGGGGAGTGAACAGTAATAGTCAAACCTCTCCTCTCGCTGAAGAGGAGGTCCCACTTCTAAACACGTACCTGTCTAGGCGAGAGCATAAATATTGGTCATGAATCCCGACTGGATTCGAAACCAAGAATTACTGGGCTGGCGAGGACCAGCAGCAGTTCAACCTACCGACGGACCGACAATGAAATAGGTGTGAGTTGTGAGTTGTGAGATGGTAGGCAGCCGACAACCACGTAAGCACGAGAATAGAAGAATCTCCATTTTTGGGAACCGTAACCGAGCAACGACCGTTGAAGACTATAACAGATAGAGTCAGCGCGTGGTATAGTGATTTCTTAAGTGTGTAGATCAGCTGTAGTTTTACTATTACCTGCAGTATCGAGTCATGAGTGTTCAATAAATCCAATTACCAATACAAACCCCGTGTCTAGTCTCTAACACGTGATAATATAAGTACGTAGATTCTAAAGGGCTATGACGATAGTGGATGACACACAGAATTACTGGGTCTTCCTTTATCACCTGAAGACGGAAACAGATCGAGTATCCTCAACGGCATGTCCCCTATTACCTAGAGTGTCCTCTATTACCTAGAATTCCGGACGATTGAAAAAGTCTCAAAAGCCAGTAATTCTACGTGATAATATGTTAACAGAGAAATAGTAAGGCTAGAAGCGTACATACTAACAGTGGAAATGCTCGCGGAACTCGAAAGGAATAATTCCTTTCTTATTTTCATCCTTCAGCCTATTTTTCTTTATTCTTTATCCCTCTCTTCCTTTTGTCTCCTTCCACTGTGCTCCACAAAAGTAGTAGATTAAGTTACACCTTTAATCTGAATACGACCCATTTTCTCAGACAGAGCTGCCACCTTTGTAAGTTCGTGAAAACTGAATGTTTCAATAGAAGAGGAGTTAGTACGACAAACACGTAATCAAATGCAAACTTTATCCCTAGAACAATTAAGTTCAATTTAATTCCGTATGTATTTACTACAATGGCACGAGGTAGCGTAGTTATTTGAAACACTATGCTACAAGCCGGAAGGTCGCGGGTTCGATTCCCGATGAGGTAATTGGATTTTTCAATTGACCTAACCCTTCCCGCCGCACTATGTTTGTGGGGTCGAATCAGCCTTTGACACAAATGAGTACCAGGAATTTTCCTGGGGGTGGGGGGGCCGGCGCATAAGACCGACAACCTCACCGACGTCTGTGAGCCGATTGTCTAGAAAATGTGGGAACCTCAACATCTTACAATCCTATGGACCTCCACGGCCTGTTACAGGGATACATTTACTTCTTAGTAGGTCTGCACTGAATAAAGTCAAATTTTCTGCATAATTTGTGCACATTATCGACAGGTTTAGAAAACATACCGAACAGTCTTGCGACAGTTTGCAAACCAATGACGACCAGCACTGTGTAGCGTACGAGTATAATTCTGAACTCTTTGATAATGGGGGTCATGTTTGAGATAAGTAAAAATGGTTGAGAGATGGTTCAGGCCATACTCCGTCATGTTTTGAGCGTGGATTTACTTACATCTCCTTATAACGAATGAAATAAGATTAACTCTTTGTAGTTCTGATCATAAAAGATAATTTCATAACGACCTTTCAATCACAGACTAATTACGGTCGGAACATCTCGTGTATCGACCAGTATCGAACCCGGATGATGAACGGGTCGGATAACCTAAACTTTGAGGTCGTTGATGCTGCTCATTTCATTATCATGTCATGTAAAAATCGACGAAGTACACAGCTAAAATAGGAAGGCGGCTCCAAATTTAGATTCACAAACGCATGCGCAGCCGGTCACGGTAGCCGAGCGGTCTAAGGCATGTACTGTCTTCGCTCGCTTGGAAACCGGGATCGTGGGTTCGAATCCCACTCAGGGCATGGTTGTTTAGTTTGTGTGTGTGCGTTTTTCTGTGTTTGTGTATAGGTAGAGGCCTTGCGACGAGCTGATCACCCGCCCAAGGGTTCATATCGAATGTGTAAGATCTAGTAAACCGAAGTGAATGGAGAAGTGAATGGAGGTAGGCCTAGGCCCACTGGAGTTGTAGTGCCATGGGGGGGGGGGAAACCGCATGNGAAGATGTATGTATGGAAAGTTCCATCTTCTGAGATATAACGCTGTGTAGCCTACTGAGAGTCGACCGATGTTTCGCTTCCATCTTCGGGGCTAAAATGCAAGCCTTACAAGAGACCAGCACTTTTTTCTGCTGCTGCTGTTTGGTTTGCTCTCCAGGCCTGAAGGCTCGATGGTGTACGATTTAATCGTTAGCACATTATGTTTATGGTCAAGGTGTGTAGAGTTTAATCAATGCAGCCACTTGAAATATGCAGAAAAACGAAGTTTAATCTATTCTGTGATGAAATAATTAGAGAAAAACATTGACTGTGTAAAAGGGTGGTAGTTCGACTCCTTTCTCTATTAACAAAGTGAAGAGTTTTAGAATAACTCAGAAAGTCTATGCCTGGCTACCAGCTGTTCCGATAGCATGTTTGTTTTCCTCGTTCCCTCCAGGCCATTGTCACCTCACAGTCTGTTCCTTCGATGTTCTTAACCACGTATCCTCCATATTATTTTCCAGTCTCCTTCAACTCTTATGTCTCATTCAGAATGTTGTAAAATGACTTAGGAACCAATAATTCTAGCGCGTGAAACTGGTGTACATACGAACAGGTGAGTATTATTACACATGGAATTGTTGGAAAAGTGTTACGTACCTCCATCCACGTTCAAAGTCGTTTTAAGGTTAATAGAGTCAACTTGGGAGGCAGACCGGGACCCTCTATGGCCCAAGTCGGATAACTGCTCCGACCGGCTCCGACCCTCCGGCCGCACCAGCCTCTGCAGCCTCTCTTGGGCTACCGTACCAGTACCGTTTGCCCTTCACGTGTGCCCCTCCATGGCCTAGCTTTGTATCATCGAATGAAGCAGGACATGACGACCCTCATTAAGGGGGGTGAGAGAAGGCTTCTGGTCAAGTGGGATTTGTGGTGGACAAAGTGGTGCTGGGACAAGTTTTCTCCGAGTACTTCGGTTTCCCCTGCCAATCTTCACAGCACCAATTGCTTCACAGTCACCCTCACCTATCATTTGGGGCTGGTACAGTAGGCCAAAAGTGGCTGCAATACAAGGGACTTAGTCCCACCCCACTAGCAATAAAAAAATATACCATCCCAGCTTTCGCCCACATAATTAATGAACGCTAGGATGTATGCAAGGTAGTTGGCTAATCGGCCAGAATTGCATGCAACCGGAGATTTTCAAATTCGAACAGAGGAACTATTCAGTACGCTGTTTTACGTTCGGTTTATGTGCTTGTTGCCGACTGAGTTTTCGATGTCAAAAATATCTCGTGAATGTCGATCCTACGATAGTAACAGAAGCTGAACATTGCTTACATCCACTGATACATGCTATATACGTTGATCGTAAAGCCAAAGAGTATTGTACATGGCAATTTGTTGTTGTTTTGTCATAGGTTATGAATAGCGATGAATAGTAGTACTTTGCCGTCTGTGCGGTTATGAAGTTATAATAAAGTGTCATTACCAGTATGGAAAAAGACAGGTGATTGTTAAGTATGCCCAGTATTGCTGATATATTCAAATAGCATCTGCCAAGTTAGAGTGGTTTCATTAGATGATTTTTCTAATCATGCTTAACCTAACAGCAAGTGTTTTGCACAATGTGAACGTTTTCTAAAAACAAGTTGGACGTACATAGTGATTGTAAAAAGAAGTATATACAAAAATGAAACCCAAGATAGCAGAGTGTTATTTGCCTTACCTTCTTTCAAATTAACGTCCTAAATGTACATGGAATAATAAATCGCATACGTATTTTTGAAGTAGACTTGAATATAAAGTTACGATTATGTGAGAGATATACTCGGCAAAGTTTTAATTGCCACAGATATAATATGGATTAGACGAACGAATAGAGAAATGTGGATGTTTAGTCCCTAGAAATTTTACACAACCGAACAACAGAACTAAATATTTTCAAGACACTTGCCACAAATACGATGAAATATGTACCCTATAAAAGTAAATGCGTTAGTTAACCTCAATTTGGTTATAACATTTATGCAAGTATAGTAAAGAATAAACCTTATGTTTGTTGTAAACATATTAGGTGAAGAAGATAATGGATTCAGAAGAGGAAATATATGTGGTATTAATTTTTTGTCTCCAGGTTAAAAATGAAGATGAATTACAATGCACCGCCCATAATTTGTAGATTAATGGCCCTGAATTTAACATGGTACTTATAGTTGAAAAATTGAAGTCTTGTCCTCTTTAGGTAAAGACCATGTCTGGAGCAAAACTTTCTTTGGTAACAAAATACTGGAACAAGTCAGTACCTTAATCATCTTGGCAGGGTGTCATCAAGAATATGTAGTTTGTACAAGTGATTATAACATCAAGTATTCAGACATTTGTTAGTGCAAAAAGCAGTATATTTAACATTTACTAATCTTTGGCAAGACCTGTGCTATCATGTGGAAGTGGGGTCTGGATAATTAGAAAAAACATGAAAAGATGTGTGCATTACAAAATTATAATTTAACTAAAACATTAAGTTACCTTTACTTACAGTATTATTGAAATCTGCTGTAATTTTTTTATAGAGATAGTGTGTGGCTTGAAGCATGTATTGCTTTTTATTCGTATGGGATACGTTTGTCTGAAAGGTACAATGCAGACTTTCCATCTTCTCTACTCAAGCTATTTCATATTTCATTTCATTTATTTCGTGTCCATGGATTATTATACATGATATAAGACATGTCATTCTTGTGTAGTTATAGTATAATAAGTTTCATGATGTTACTATTGGGGGGTGCTGCATGTGAAGCATGCAGTGCAACGTGGAATTTGGGTACCAACTCAGCATTTGCTCTGGGACCAAGGAAAACCACGGAAATCCTTGATCGAATTGGCCGGTCACAAGACCTCCCAGATACACTGGTTTCTAGCAGCACCACTCCCACCGCCTTGGCTCCATATCCCATAGTCCCTGCTGTGTTTTCTCCAGCACATGGCGTCCTGTTTCCTGCAAAAAGAGAGTTACGCAGTATACACTCCTAGCGTGTGTTAAGCTAAGCTCAATTGTTCTTACTTTTAAATTATTATATGATCCTAATGTGAACTAAGTCTTGTCCACATAGGAGAGGAACTCATCTATGCTATAAAAGCAATGTTTTAATAGAAATGTTTTCAGTGTAATTTTAAATTTACATAAAGCTGGTATCTCTTTAATGTATTGCAGTAGGTGGTTTAGAAGACAAAGACCAAGATTATATTAGGTTTTCATTGGTTATTTAGTCATTTACTTGGAACACTGATTTCCATTGCCGTCTATATGACTCATACTTGGTTCTGGTCTTCAAATAGTGCTGATAGCTTGAGCAGTTGACATTGTTTCTTGAACAATATAGAATGATGTCATATTGTTAGATATGTGCCCATATTTCTACATTGTGTTAATCTGATTCTACTTTTTATTATGCTTAGTAGGCCATACCGTAGCTCAGATGGTTATGTGTCATCTTTCCACTACAGTGGTATGGATTTGATCCTGGGCCAGGTTATGAGGGATTTTTGGTGGAGAAATTGGCAGTGGTGCACATTTTCTCTGAGTACTTAGGTTTCCTCTGTCACTTCTTATTCCACCAAATACTATATATTCAGTAATCATCACTCCATTGACACTGTATAGTCTCGATACTGACAGCAACATTATACTTAGTAGGACTGTTATGCAGAACATGCAGTCAGTTGCAGTGTTTTAGTGTTGTGCTTGGAATGAAATAACAAGATCTGTCACTTTATGTGCTGCATGCATGAGGTACATAGCAGCAAAACATCAGTTTCCTTTTATTGTTATTTAGGATGGTAATGAGGAGCAGACCGATTTCTGGCAGGATAACACCATGTCAAGTTTCGACATTCTTTGATGGTTGTCTTCAGTGATCAAGAATAGTACACTTGTCACTGTAAAAAATGCCTGATCAGTCCGTGAATTCATGGGAGAGTCACAATGACAGAAAAGGTTGCAGTTCATGAGAAAACAGTTGGGAAGTGTGTCTCTGCTCTCCATGCTCTCTAGATTTGGCCTCCAGTGATTTCTGTCTGTAGGAACAGTTGAAGAACTAGTGCAATCTCCAAGTTTCAATATAATGTGCAGGCCAAGGGCATGTCTGTGTATGCCTGTGATTCCAGTAAACTTCTCAGCAACTGGGTTCTCGAAGCTCCTGCTATGAGGGGAAATACGTATGTGTGGAATTTCAGAGCAATTTGAAAAATAAAGCTATCAACATTTGGATCAAATTGAGCCCTAGAATGCTTCTTGTATAATTACAGTTAGGACCTACATTATACATATGATTTTTAAATGGATGCATTATTCCATTATATTTCACATGATGAAAGGGAAAAGCCTGCACTCAGTATTAGAGATCATATGTACACGTGCACGCTACAGACTCCAAAAATTGGTGGGAAAAGTGCAGCTTCATCACAGTGACTCATTATGATTGAAATTGAATGGAAATAGAAATATATACACGTATTTAGAGAAAACTGCAGTAAATTTTGTGTACATGGTCTGACAATAAAGTTCGCGAACTCATCACAGTAAAAGTTTTACTTACCTCATTTCTGAATATCGCTGTGGTCACCTTCAAAATACTTCCCTTGGGAAGCTATGCACCAGTGCCTAGTCCATCCTTCAAAACAGTTTTGGAATTGGTTTTGTGGAATGGCCTTCAGAGGTTCCATTGTATTACTCCTGATGTCATCAGTGTCATCAAAATGCTTTCCTTTCAATATTTACTTTCTCTTCACGAACAGGATAAGTCATTAAGGGCTAGATCTGGTGAATATAGAGGGTGTTCCAGCACAGTTATTTGTTTACTAGCTAAAAACTCCCTCACAGACAGTGCTCTAATTCAAGCTCCAACATTCTTGCGACCACACCCCAAAACACACTCAGACAATAATAGGCACCACTCAGAAAGAGACTGCAATAGATCAACAACAACACAGCTGTGAAATGCTGATATGCCAACGTCATCAAACCATACTGAGGTTTCTGTCCACTGCTGCCATGGCAAGCAGATGATGGCGAGTTCTCAAACTTTATTGTCAGACCTACACCTATTCTGTCTTCAGCCAGAACAGTGATCATTTTGGGTAGGTAAAGTTTGCTGAGTATATTTTTTTAGCAGTGTCCTCATTGCTTTGTCTAAATGTAAGCTGGGACTGCTGCACATTTAAGTTATGGGCTGACACCTGCAGTGGCTTACAAAATATATGAATAGTTGAAGAGAAATTAAAACCTTCTGTAAAATGGATGTCCTTTCAAGATGTCTTTTCCTAGTAGAGCACACACGTAGAATGCTGCTGAACTTGGCCATTGCACCAAAGTTGAGACCTTCACTACAAATTAATGAATAGAAATAATTGTAGATTGTCTTGTACCTTCATTAGCATCACAAATTAGCATCTGTGACTCATAATACTTTTTTCTTCATGTGTCAGGTTCTCGTTACTTTTGTTGGAACCTGCAGAAATATACTTTGAAGATTTCAGTGCCTTTTTGTTCCCACTTGATGTAAACAAACATGACTTTGAGAAAAAGAAACAGATTGGACGACTCAAAATGTGTTCAAAGTCGATAGTGTTTGATCCTAAAGACATGGAGAAACCACTTATAAAAATTCCTCTGAAGGAGTGTATGAAGATATCACAGTGGGATGGAGAACTTGCAACCAAGTATGTTACAAATATTCCTTACTTTCTGAAGATTTGCAATATGAAATTTCCTTCATAGAAACGTTTATAATGAAGCACATATTCTTGCCTTAGCTTAGCATCTGACTGCAAACACATTCTTCCAAAATCCCTTTGAAACAAGTTGAGACACATGCAAATGGAAGCAAGCACAATGTCCGCAGTCAGTTCCCTCATGCTGTGTCCTGATGTGCATCTTGTATACGATTTTGCTGTATATTTTTTAACAGTCTTTGCTGTTTTATAAATATTACTTCTTAGGATCTGTGGTGGTTATGGCATAATATGATATGTTTTCATTGCTTGTGTTTTTTGTTTGAGGCAATAACATTTGTGATTTCCTTTTTTCTTAGCGATTTTTTGATTATCCATGAATGTAGCCCCTCCCAAATTCTGATCATTGCACCAATGGAAAGTAACAACTTGCGTTATAAAATTTCAGAGTACAGACTCACTAGGAACATAACTCTTTGTAAGAGCAGGTGCAGGTACTGTCTGAATATTGCTATATGTTTAAACACTTCCAGTATGATCACCACCAGTGGCGTTTCATTCACTTCCATGGCACCGACCACTCATATTGTTTAATTGTAATAAATGTATTATTTATAATAAGTATGTACTTTATAAACTTCACTTTTATTTATAATATATATTATTTGTTTATAATACAAGGAATCTTGATTAATTTTTAAAATTTATCACTGCCCTATTTCTAAATTTTTTCAAGATATGGAAAAATTTGAAAGTCAGTATTCTTAAAAATTACTTTTGAAGTTATTCTACTTAAAATAAATACCAAACTGCTGTAATCAATTCACAACAATTTCCTTTTTTAGAGGGAGAGTATTCAAGTTCTATTGAAAGCTAATAATTTATTTGTATTGAAAGTTCAATCTGGGAATTTGTTTATGAATGAAGTTCCTGTAATAAAATTTTTGGGTCTGCAAATTGATAAGAATTTGGATTGGAAGAGTCATGTAGAGTATATTCTCCCTAAACTCAGTTCACCTATTTTTGTAATTAGGAGTTTATCTTATTTTATGAGTGAAAATATTTTACGAATGGTGTATTTTTCTTATTTCCACTCTGTTCTTAAGTATGGAATAATTTTCTGGGGCAACTCAACGAATAATATTAAGAGTTTTTAAATTACAAAAAGAAAGTAATAAGGATTATATCTGGAGTGGGACCTAGAGACTCATGAAGGGATCTTTTTAAGAAAGCCATTGTCATGTGAATGTTGATGTTTGTGATTGATAATCAAACTAAATTTTGTTCAGGTTTAGATGTTCATGGTTTGAATACAAGAAATCGAAAGCAATTATATTTGCCAAACTCAAATCTTTCTGCTTTTCAGAAGGTTACTATGTTTACTGCTATTAAACTATTCAACAGATTGCCCATAACCATTCAAAGCCTTAAAGAGGATAGAATTAGTTTTAAAACTAAGCTGTCTTTATATCTTATGAATAATTCCTTTTATACAGTTTCTGAATATGTGGAGCATAACATAAACAATTAGTTTTAATTATTCTATTATCTGTGCATTTGTTTAAATTTTTTGTATGTTTTTTTTTATATGACGACCTTTATGTCCATTTGGTTTGGATTTGTGAAATGAAATGTATGTATGAAATGTAATGCTTAGTTGTCAAAAAACGGTAGCTAGAGTTTGTAACTTACCTCAAAAGTAAGGAACTGCCACAATAATAGAACTAGTGCAGAAAAATATCTTGTTCCAAGCACTCCGAATACTGAACTGAAGAACACCTGAAATTTGCTGAAAAGGTGGCAGTAAAACTCATGAGAAGAGTGGGAGATATTTAGGAAAATAAGGGATCATTTTTCCAGTTAATCATTTCGTTAGGGCTTTGCCTGCTTCGAGGGGGTTTACCAGTACTTTGAATTCCCAGATCTAAGGTTGTGGTTTAAGTATAATAAGTTCTGTCCCTTATAAATAAGGTACACAAAAATAAGGATAGTGAGTTTTTTGTTATATATATAGTGACCATTAGGCATTTTTATTTTTTTTTTATATTATTAATAATTTTATTTTAGAAGTGAAATTTTCATGGGTCACTAAATAGGTTTCATGGTCCCACATTTTTCTGACTTTTGCCTCTGGCCCCTCTGAAATACGGCATGGCCTCCATTGGGAACCGCTGATCTAGACCTATTTACCTGGATTTATTCATCCCTTTTCTACCAGACTCTGTAAATGTAAAATAGAGTTGAACAATTTTGCCTGGAAAACTGCCTGGCTAAAGCATTCTTTTTGTTTCCTGAATTTATCCAGCCTGTTGGTGGTCACAGTAGCTGAGCGGTCTAAGGCATGCACTGTCTTTGCTTGCTGGGAAGCCAGGATCATGGGTTCGAATCTCACTCAGAGCATGGATGTTTGGTTTGTGTGTGTGCATGTGCATGTATGTGCACACATTTTTCTGTGTTTGTGTACAGGTAGAGGCCTTGTGATGAGCTGATCACCTGCCCAAGGAGTCCAACTGAATGTCTCAGATCTAATAAACCAAAGTGAAACAGAGAGTTTCATGGAGGTAGACCAAGGCCCAAATTGTGGCTGTAGCGCCAAAGGAAAAAAAAATTTGCCAGGTTACCCAGTCAATCACTCATATAAATTTTAAATTAATGGTGTCTTTATAAACACCATTTTACTTAAATGTTATTAATAGAGACTTGAAGAGATTTGTTTTGGTTTTGTATAAATGAGGTTTGTAATATTTGACCTAAAAATCAGTTAATATAAAATAAAATTTGTATTACTGACTTTACTTTTAGCCTCAGAAAATACTGAAGTATGTACTGTAGTGGCAGAATGGAAGAATATATTTGGAAATGTACACCATGAATTGCACAGTATTGACCACTGCCACTTTGTCAACCATGTTTCAGTTACCATAACCTTAAGATCTTCATTTTGACTTCATATTCACATATTCTTTTTTTCTTTTTATATGCAGCTGAAGAAATGATGAATATGCCAGTTCAGTTTGTTCTTCTCTACCAGTCTCATGAATTATTTTAAATTTGGTTCCAAGGGTTGTTTCCTCTGCTGATATGAAGTACCCATATTTCCTGTAGAGCATATTTTATGTTTACAGTCTCATATAACCTCTACTGTTGAGTGAAATGATCTCCCTGTTAATATGAGCAATTTTTGAGAAATTTGGTAAAGAGAACTTGAGCCTTATATACTGACATAGACAAGAATTTCAGCTTGCCCAACAATCCCAAATATGATTGTTATTGAGGAGTTCTGTCTTCAAAGATATAACACCATACAGTCCATTGAAAGTCAACTGGTATTTCAGAGGAACATGTCACCTCCCTCTTCAGGGTTGAAGAGGAAGTGAAGTAAGAAACCAGCATGAAGGAGGCAGCAGAAGGATTGCTGCCTCCTTCATGCTGTTATCTTACTTGGATTACCCTTGTTCATCTGAAATGTCAGTTGACTGTCATTAAACTACATGGCATTTGATCCCAGAAAACAGAACTCTTCAGAAACACCGCTGTCAGAACCTCAAATCCTGCAGACTTTTATCGACATCCACTGAGTTATTAAGAGGTGAAGCGTATTGACAGACATGATTTCATGCATCCATTTTATGTACTGTTATTCCATGCTGTTGACTTTCAGCGAATTACATGACATTATATTCCAGAAGATAGAACTCTTTGGAACCACCACTGTGAGAACTTCAAATTCCATATACTTCTATGACCTATTCCAAAATATTTTTTGAATATGAACACTGTTCGTTTGTGGAAAGCGTTGCCATTTTAAATCAGACTGTGAAAGGGATGGGAAGAAAAAATGAAAGATTGAGCTATTGCTGTTTAGAAAAAATATTTTAATTTACTGTATTATTGTGTTGGATTTTACCAATATAAAAATCGGAAAGTGAATGTTGTTTCCTTTTTTAGAATAACTCCAAAAAATAATGTTGTTGCTGTGGACTGCAAACAGTATGTGGAGATGTTGGCAGGAAATGTGCTCGCTCCATATTCATTTGTAGCTGTAAGTACTGCTGTTTCATTCAGCTACATATTAAAGTTGCTTATTGTGACAATTCATCATAACATTCATAAATTTACTTTGACATCTCCTGATGGGAAGATGCACAACCAAATGGACCATATTTTGATAGATAGGAGTTGGCATTCAAATATACTTGGATGTCCGATCATTCAGGACAGCAGATTGTGATATTGACCACTACCTGGTGGTGGCAAAGCTTAGGGAAAGACTGGCATTGAATAAACAAACAACAGACAGAGTTCATATGGAGAGGTTCAGTCTCAAGAAATTAAATGAGGTAGAGGGTAAAGAGCAGTATCATGTTGAAATCTCAGATAGGTTTATGGTCTTGGAAAACTTAGACACTAAGGTGGATGTTAATAAAGCTTGGGAAACTATTAGAGAGAATTGAGGTTTTCACGGCGGTGACCATGATGAAAGCAGTCTTCTGGGTTGTGGCACTGTGTAGATGTAGTGTTAACCGACGTTTCGGAGGAATATATCACCTCCATCTTCAAGGTAGAAGACAAGAAGAAATCTGCAAGCGAACCAGCGTGAGCAGGTGCAGGTAAACATTTATCTGATAATTCTACTATCCAGAATGGTCTAAAACAAAGAGATGCTTTATCACCACTGCTTTTCAACTTTGATTTAGAATATGCCAGTAGGAAGGTCCAGGAAAACCAGGTGGGACTAAAATTAAATTGGAGACATCAGCTGTTGGTCTGTGCTGATAGTGTGAATCTACTGGGTGATAATATAGATACCATAAAGAAAAACACACAAACTTTAATTCATGCTAATAAGGAGGTTGGTCTAGAAGTAAACACAGAGAAAACTAAGTATATGTTGCCGTCGTCACCAAATTACAGGGCAAAATTATAACTTAAAAGATAGATAACAGATGTTTCGAAAATGTGGCACAGTTCAGATATTTGGTAACTACTATGGCAAATCAAAACCTGATTCAGGAGGAAATTAAGAGGAGATTGAACTCGGGTAATGCTTGCTACCATCTGGTTCAGAACCTTTTGTCTTCTCGTCTGCTGTCTAAAAACATAAAAATTAGAATATACAGAACTATAATTTTGCCTGTGGTTCTGTATGGGTTTGAAACTTTGTCTCTAATTTTAGGGAGGAACACAGACTGAGGGCATTTGAGAACAGGGTGTTGAGAATATTTGTACGAAAGAGAGATGAAGTAACAGGAGATTGGAGAAAACTGCATAGTGAGGAGCTTCATAACTTGTACTCTTCTCCAAGTATAGTTAGAATGATCAAGTGAAGGAAGATGAGATGGACAGGGCATGTAGCACGAATGGGGGCGAAGAGAAATACATATAGGATATTGATGTTAAAGCCAAAAGGAAAGAGACCACTGGGAAGACCAAGACATAGGTGGGTGAACAATATTAAAATGGATCTTGGAGAGATTGGATTGGTCTGGCTCAGAATAGGGACCAGTGGATGGCTCTTGTGAACATGATAACGAACCTTGGGATTCCATAAAATGCTGGGAGGTTTTTAAGTAGCTGCACAATTGGCAGCTTCTCAAGAAGGACTCAGCTCCATGAGTGAGTGAGTCAGTCAGTCAGTGAGTGACAGTACTGTGACCCTTATTACTGTTAAACATGAAATGTCACTGAAATTCATTTGTTTCATACTCAACATTAGCCAGGATTGATAAGACGTGAAGGACACAAGAAAAAGTGAAATTCATTTTTAAAACTTAGAATTTTGAACTTCATGCATTCTGCACTAAAAAATCCCTTTGATAATGGAGAATTATGTATTGTGTAATGTTCAGTGGTAGGTATGTGTTATGTCTTGCTAGAATATAAGTACATACATTTACTCAGATAATGAAATGCTCTGTATGAATGTTAGTAGAGCTGAAACATTTTGCAGTAGAAAACAAACTACTGTAATAGTGGGTATTAGTGAAGCTGTGTAACATACCTGGCAAGTTATATATTAATGTCATATTTGCATTAGATGAGAAAAGTATTTTTACCCACTTATGTCTTGGTACGAAATGAGCCATCTTACATATAAAATGGAACTTACGCGCTCTGTGAAACTTCACAGCCATTATGATAACTTTTGCAAGCTAAGTTCTTAACTTCTTGTCCAGGCAATGGTACAAGCTATGTTTTGGATATCTTGGAATGTCTAATTTAATTTTTATATCAACACTGAAGAACTGTTGGTTATGAAAGCTTGAAGCTGCAGCAGAAATCAGTGGAAAGTGTGTTTCATAGCTTTTAATAAGGCAAATTTATTAAGAGTTCTGTAATGTTTGGAACATTCATTTTCTTGAATTTTGTTGAACTTATCATTGCCAGCAGTGAACTAATTGCATTAATTACTTTGAAATGTTTATAAAATTCAGTTTATGAATTATGAATTTAATTTTCACACTTTCTTATATTGATCCTGAACGTGGATTAAAAATAATTTTTGAAAATTGTAATTACATTATCTCACCCCTCATTTTATGATACTGATAAAGAATATACTTTATGCTGTATCCTCATGGTGAAGCTCTGCTGTGTGGCTCTTGTTATACTCAGATGCTCTTAATTAAATATCATTTTGGTAACTGACAAAACCAATGCCATGTGCCATGCAGTGTGTATAGTTGTGTACTGCCGTATTCATCCAGTTTTAGTCCTTCATGATATACATATGTAAGCATTGCACTTCTTTTGTGACATGTTCGTATTTCTTTTCAGGAAAAACACAGCTTTCTTTTCCTGTTAAATTATGCCCATGTTGCTGACTGCCTTCCGCAGATATGTCAACTTCACCGTGCAGCGACTTTACCAGCAGCTGAGCAGAACAGCATGGTAAGATAGAAGCACCTGTTATTATAATACTAGCCATTCTCCATAAGTTTTGAAGCAGGGACACTGAACAATTAATGCATTTACAGCCATGCCCCTGTACTGTGATTTTACCTTCTGGACCAACAACTTTTCCATGAAATCTGAATTTTAAATTTACTGTATTCAAAATGAAAGTAGAAGAGAACAGATGAAAAAGAGTCAACGATTGCATGTGTTAACACATTGAGGACCGGTCACATGATATCATGATTTTAGGACACGTTAGGTTGTAATGCTATACCTTTCTCTGGCGCCACCCAAATGAATGACTACCGCGTAATATTACTCCGGAATGTTTGCTTAGTAGGCAGTAACTTGAACTCACTGTTTTGGTTCCCCCTCCAAAGAAAAATGATCTTTGACCATTCAAGCTCTTATGTACCAGGCAGGAAGTTAGTAGTGCAATATGAATCAAGGACAGAAGCGGGGACAGGGGACAAGAAACAATTGTGGCCACAGACAATAAAAGTGAAAGTAGCTCTGACGAAAGTGCAGGTGGTAACATTGAGAGGACAGCCACATGAGGAAAACTAGACAAAACGCCTGCTTTGGGAGAGTTTACTGGAAATCCAAGGGTGAAACAAATTCCATCGGACCCAACACAAGTGTCTGAAGTAGCAGAACTGTTTTTTGGAGATAGTTTCTTTGACATGTTATGTCAGGAAACTAACAGATACTATCTCCAACACCGCGAAGAATATGACAGAAGTTATAAGGTGTTGAAGTGGATGGATGTCACTTCAGCAGAAATGAAAAAAATTTTGCAATGATCATAATAATAATAATGGGGCATGCAAAGAAGGATAATCTAAAAGAGTATTGGTCAACAGATCCATTTTTAGAAATTCCCATTTTCAGCAAACTAATGAGCCGTAAGAGATTTGAACAAATTTGGTGGTGTTTGCATTTCAATAATAATGAACTGCCACCACAATCAACAAGCAGGCTTTTCCAAATTCAGCCCTTATTAAACTTTTTCCTTCAGAAATTTCAGACAGTTTATAAGCCAAATCATCAACTGTCTTTGGACGAATCTTTGATTCCTTGGAGGGGAAGGCTTCGTTTTCGAACATATAATCCTGGGAAACTTACAAAGTATGGCCGACTTGTTGGTGTAGTTAGTGAAAACACTTCAGGCTATAGTGGAAATTTAGAAATTTGTTCTGTTTAAGGCAAAAAATTACAAGAAACTATTGTTTTGGAACCATATCTTGATCAAAATTACCATGTCTGCCAAGACAAATATTATAACAGTGTGGTAACTGCAGAACACCTTCTTTTGAGAAAAGTACGTGTTTGTGGAACAGTTAGGGTGAGCAGAGGCCTTCCTCCAGATCTGAAAGAGGAATCTAAATCCCTGAAACGTGGTGAAACCACATTCAGGAGGAAGGGGGTTATTCTTCAGTCCTGGAGGGATACTCGTGTTGTGAATATGATTTCCACAATTCACAATTTGAGCATGGTTGACATTCAAAGGAGACATGGACAAGTAAAGAAGCCTGTTTGTATTTCTGAATATAATATGTTCATGAAGGGAACTGATAGAGCCGATCATTACTTGGTCTATTATTCTCTTCATAGGAAAACAATAAAGTGGACAAAGAAAGTTGCCTTGTGGCTTATAAGTTGTGCCATTTTCAATTCATTTTTGTTTTACAAATATCTAAACCCTGATTCGAAATTGAAATACAAAGCATTTATGATGAATGTGGCAAAGGCCTGGGCTACAGACCAGATGGTGGCAGCGGAATGAGAGTCACACACAGACTTAGTGTGACCCACCCCATGCAGGCCTCATGTGGACCCCCCTGGGCGACTCTCGGGTGATATGCGGAAACTTACACTCGTGAAATTGTGAAGAGTGAACGTTTCAAGGTGAAGCATCCTTCTAGGCAGTGCCGTGTTTGTGCAGTTCACAGAAAAAGGAGTATGACTGCCAATATTTGCAAGTTCTGTGTAATGCCACTTCACAAAGGGGAATGTTTCCAGAAATATCACACTCTCAAGCACTTCTAGGAGCATTGGTAAGTGTTCTCCAAAAATTTTAGTTCATAAAATTAATTAGAAGATTTTATATTAATTTTTAAATTGAACAGTGCACAAGTTAGGATAGTAGGTATAATAATGCTGGTCCCCAGGGTGATTTAAATATTCAAATCGCTGGTCCGCATTGTGTTAACTCTTTCAGGTTTTGAAAAGCTGCATATAAAATGTCTCTGTATTTTGAATGACATTGTAGAAGAAAATGACATTTACATTCACAGTGGCAATAGCCCGTCACTTGATGAGATTTGTAGAGGCACACAGTAAAGTTCAGGCTGTTAGATGACAGAATTGAAGTGACTGTGTTAAAAACATGAGAAGTTTTAAGATTCTGAGGTGAGAGGATGGCATTGACACCAATCATTGGATGTCAACTCATAACAGAAATTATTCTGTTCTCAGTTGTGTGGGTGTGTATAGGTATGAACCTGGTTCTCAAGTTGACCATCTGTGCTTAAAATAAAATAAACACTATATATTTTGTGCTTACAGATAGCTGCTATTGTATATTCTCGGCAGAATCGTGTCAGTTTCGACACACTGTGGTTGGAAGACCTGTATGAAAAGGTGATCCTGGAGACTCAAGGAAGCAAAATTACACCTCTTGTAGTGAACCCTGGGAGAATTCTGCTCACATCATCAAGGCTTTACTTTCAGCCTTACAACAATGTAGAATCTGTGAGTTGGTGTGTAACCTGACTTGAAGCTATTGTAATTCACTGCATGTTCGTACAGCACTCCATGTAGCTGAAAGTGTTTCTTAATGTGCTTTAAGACAAACAGTTTTATGTTATTTATTAATTACAATGTTGTATAATTGTTAATTTAATACATCTCTGTTTTTCTGCAGATTTTAATTTTAGTTGAATTTTGCATTATATCATATCATTATACGTCATATCATGTCATACATTATACGAGGGCTATTCGTAAAGTAACCTCCATTTATTTTAGGTAACTAATGTAGAAATGGGGAGAGCTTGTGCATGTGAGGTAGCATCATGACTCATTGCATTGTAAACCATCATGTAACTGGTTACTTGATGTTTGTTCTAGGCTCTACAGAGTGAGTTATGATGTGTCCTGCCATTGATAATCCTGCCAGCTGTGAAAATCTTGCTGTTACCCACTATTTTCACACAAAAACATGAGTGCTGCAGAAATACGCCATGATTTCTGTGCAGTTTATGACCAAAATATAATGAGTGAAGGAACTGTAAGAGTGGTGTAGAATATTCAAAGATGGGCAGGTGAACAGATGTTCACAATGATGAGCAACATGGTCAGCCATCTGTAGTAAATGACGATCATGTTCAAAGTGTTGACCAAGAAATCTATGAAAGCCAGCCCTTCAGAATTTGAGAATTTTCATGTGAATTTCCACAAATTTCACTCACTGTTCTCTAAGAGATGACAGTTAGGCAAGCCTGTCATAAATTTTGTGCAAGGTGTGTTCCAAAAATGCTCATAGATGCACACAAAATGCAGAGAATGGCTTCACCTTTGACTTTCTAGAGCAATGCCACAAAGATGGCAATGAGTTTCTCAGTCACATTGTATGAATAACAGGTAATGAAACCTGGGTTTCATTTGCCAATGTTGAAACCAAAGAATAGTCAAAGTAGTGGATGCGCATACATTCACCAAACAACCCAAAAAAAATTTAAACAAAAAGCTGATGGCAGCTGTTTTCTGGAACAGGAAAGGAGTGCTGATGGTGGAATTCACACAACAAGGGACTGCAATAACATCAGAAGTGTATTGTGAAACTCTTAAGAACTGCATAGGGCCATTCAGAACAAACGGCTTGGAATGCTGACATCCGGTGTAGTGCTCCTCCATGACAATGCACGTCTGTATATGAGTACAGCTCCTCTCATTCAGGTACTGCTGGAGAATTTCAACTGGGAGTTGTTTGGCCACCCTCCTTTCAGCCCTGATCTCGCTCCAACTGACTGCTACCTGTTTAGCTACATGAAGAACTGGTTAGGATCGCAGAGTTTCAGCAGTAACGAGGAGTTTATAGAAGGTGACAAAACGTGGCTGTGTTCACAGGTGGTACACTTCTTTAACTTAGACATACAAAGCTTATTCCCTGATACCATGAGTGCCTCAGTTACAGCAGTGACCACTTTGGGAAACAGCTTAAGTATGTATGTATCTTTTGAATACCATGACGTTTTTCTCAATGCTTGTTTTTTAGCAGCTCACTGGAAATTACTTTCCGAATAGCCCTTGTATTATATTATATTATTATCAGTTGGATGACTAAAATCTGTCAATTGGCCCTCCATTCTTGCAGCAAGTGAAGGGTGTCTTGTTCTCAGAATTCTACATTATAATATTGTAGTTAAGGAAACTGTAATATGAATTTTGAAGCAGGCTGCACAATCTTTTTTGAAGAAAATTAATAACTTTGCATAAAGAGTATATTATTATTGCTTTTAAACTTTATGTCTGTAATATGTGTATTTTTTGACAGTTTTACTTTATACCATTTGACTGCCTATTATGACATTATGCACATATAATTTTAGCACTGGTGATGCAATAAGTTATATGTAACCTGTAGGCTGCTTTAAGAATTTTTTTAAAATTAGATTAGATGAAGGCAGTGTAAACCATTTATTGCCATTTATATCATTTAGTAAGTGGGTATAAAGGTCAGCTAAACATGCTTATAATGGGCCCTGGATATTGTTTCATTCCAAACAAGGTCCTGTTTAACGCAGGTACAGTGAAACCCTAGTTTTATGTTCTCATATTTAACATAGATTTTATTCGGTTGTGTCCAAAATTCCACATAACTGTGTATTATTTTCCCAGGTTAAATGTTTCTCAATTTAAGAATTTATCCACATTTTATATGAGAAAGTTTGATTCCTTAATAAGTTTTGAACTTATTTGTAGTGTTGAAGTGAAATTTTTTGCATTTTCAAACTAAACTTATTTGTGGCAAGCCATGTGTCTGTTAAGGCCATTACTTGCATAGTGTGCTATTATAAACCATTAAGCAGCACAGCCATTTCCTCTACCCTGTCTCTATGCACACATTGCATCATTTGGAAGTATCACTTGTTCTCTTTGTACAGGTAACATTCAACCTGTTTATTAAGTTCTATAAGGATGTGTGATTTATTATAGATGTGTGTTGTAATATAATTTGAACATTGCAGTTTCTCATTTTTCAAAATTCATATTATCTAATAAATTATATTGATTATAATTAGTGAAATCAATTGTTAAAAGTGATTTTTTTATGTACTTTATGCTGCTAATTATATTTATTTTATTAAACGTATGAGCCTTTTGCCATTTAATGGAGTTAAACAGTGATTTTAAGCTTCAGGTTCTCGGAACTCCCATTTAAGGTTTTCCTCAATTTAAAATACAAGCTTATCCCCCAAACAAACATAAAATAGGGATTTTTCTGTATACGTATTCTAGGTGAAAGAGTTCTGCAGTTTACATAGCCATATATGAGGTGCTATCAGAAAGTTCCCATGACTGTTGTTGTAACTACCTTGGTGAAAGAAGATAATAAGAGGGGAGGCCAAGGTCACACTTCCAAAAGCCTATTGCATCAGACTGCCACATGACACTGTGCTGTGAACATACAGTGCATTTTTGACTTCGTGTTTAATTTTTGTCTGCAATGAATGGCAAAATAGATCAACATGTTCGCATCAAGTTTTGCACGAAGCTCAGTAAATCCACTACCGAAACCCTTGGAATGCTTCGTGAGGCTTTTGGAGAACATTCTTTAAGCTGGACAGCGGTTTTTGAATGACATTCACGTTTCAAGGCCAGCCAAATGCCAGTTGAAGATGAATATTTAGGGCAACCAAGCACCAACAAAATTACAGAAAATGTTGAAAAAATTTGAGAACTCATCCATGAATACCATCACTGAACAATCCATGGGATCAGTTATTGGGTTTACCAAGGAATGTTAACAGAAAATTTGAGCATGCATTGCAATACTCCATCATGACAACGTCCCTGAAAACCGCAGAGTTTGTGACTAGCAACAACATGGTTATCATTCTCCATCCTCCCTACTTCCTGGACTTAGCCCTCTGTGATTTTGCTTTGTTTCACAAATTGAAAATAAAACTGAAGGGATGATGTTTTGAAACAGTGTATTCAACAGAATTAAGGAAAATGACTTCCACGGTACTTTTGAAGCATGGGATATCTGTGTTCGTTCTCAGGGAGACTATTTTGAAGGAGATGACAGCAAAAATTGAGTAAGTTAAGCCATCATTTCTTTTTTGACATAGCCTGAGAAGTTTCCAATAGCACCTCATATATATGATCCAGATCGGACCAAGAATTTGTACTGCAGAATATCTGCACTGTACTGTTAACTTAGTACAACATATTTTAAGCTTTTTATATTTTTCAATTAAAATATTATGCACTTATTTTGTTGACAGACTTAATTGACTGCTGTTGGCAAGAATATTCTCTCGCAGATAAAATACAGCAAGGAGCAAAATATATGAACAGAGAACAAATAATCAGCTAATTTTATTATTCCCTATTTTTTTTTTACTAACATATCTGTCAATAATACAACTTTAAAAAGACATTAGGAATATGTTGTTCACTAAAATGCATTTTAATACTATGACATTTCAAATGAATAAAATGCCCGTAGGCCTTTATGTAGTACACAGATTTACACATTAAAAGTGAATGTTCACACTCCTCACCAACTGCCTTGGTTTTACATGTATTTTTACTAATTTATATTCACACCATTTTTCAGCCTCATTGGGCCATCATCAGGTGAATTCTGTCCTCGAGTGAGACCCCTGCACTGTATTTGTTTCCCGTGCTTCTCTTTCATGTTGTTATTTACTTCATGCTAGTCGTTAATTTCATTTTTATCCAGCTATTTTGCGGCTGTTATCAGTTTGTCGTCCTGTTTCCCTATGTCAGTGTCCCCGTTGTGGTCTACCAGTATTATTCCCATTTTGCATAAACCAGTATCAATTTTGTAGATGCAATTTTAGATTGGTTTTCACTCTCAATATATTTGTTTTATATCCTAGAACTGGACAGATTTCTGGAAAATGCATATGCCTGTTTACTCCAGGTTCCAGTTTAGACAGGCATTATTTTGTATTGTTTATAAGCAAATCATCAAACATCTGTTTGTGTGCGCGCAGGCAGGCGAGCATGCACGCGACTGAATAGGGAATACTCAAAGATATGAAACTTTCTCAGAAGAACTTGCTACCTGCTTCATGCTGGTTTGTTGCTTGGCTTATTCTTCGACCCGGAAGATGCAGATGGCCATGTTCCTCCTAAATGTCATTTGGCTGCCAACAGACTACATGGTGTTATATCCCAGGACTCTTCATAACCACTGTTGTGACAACAGGCGATCCTACATACTCAGTATTGTTTTCAGCATATGTGATAGCCAAGATTAACACTGTGTAATCCAGTGACTTTCATCGGAGTACATAACATTACATCCCAGAAGCCACCACTGTGAAAACTTGAAATCCAATATTGTGCTATAATTTCTGGTTGCCATTTGAATCTTCATTTCCAATTTTTTTGTAATTACAGAGCAAACTTTAATTCATTATGATCTTTATGCTTAATTATTGTCACGATTTAGGTGTGACTACAGACAGGGTTTGGATTGTGGGGAATGGATTTATTGACCACTTGTACACACCACTTGGAATTACAAGCACTTACAGCGCCACTGCTAATGTCCACAGTTCATGAATCACCACAGCACCTGTTAAGCCTTCCAGCTTGCTGTGGCTTTACCAGCTGTTCCCTGACAACAGCTTCTAACAGTGAAGATTCTTCAGGTTCTACCTTCACAGCTTCCCTTGCAGAACTCAACTCTCAAGTGACAACTGCCATGCTGATGGCCATTTCATACCAACCTCCTAGTCTTCTCTTCACAAGGCTGAGTTTCAACTAACTGGGTCGCCCCAATTGTCTTCCTTGTAACCCCTTTGCATGGACCGAGTAGAAACCACCGTTTCCAACAGTAACTCTATTGTTGTGCCCTGTGTTACAGAGCGAATAGTTGTTGTGTTGTATACAAATGTCCCAGTACCAGAGAGAGGGAACCATTTTTTAAACATTCCACATTTTTACAAAGGAACCAAATACAGTGAAACTTCATTTAAAAATTAGATTGGGGGTTGCTGGATTTAATCACTAAACTGAGAAAATCTTAAGTGGAGGATATTTAACATTGATATAATTAACTTGGGATCAGTGAAATTGAATGTAAGTGAGAAACAAAATAAATTGGGATCATTAAATGGGGGTTGCAGTATGTTTGATAACTTTACTTTCATTAAGAGTGGATACAGTATGTGAGTGTTATTGATCCATTAAAGTGTTAGGTACTCTATCCTGCAGTATTTATAACAAAGGCAATCAATCATATCCTGAGTGAAGAATGCTTACTTCAGCTATCTTTGGGGCTGTTTCCAACCCTGTTTCCAATTCCGTAGTACTGATTATCATCTGAAAGAAAGCCTCTTGATATATTTAAATTGGTATGAAGACTTAACTGGACTAAATATCATACAAGATTTCTTTTTTATTATAGTACCCAGTGTTGAAGATTCGCCTTCCAGATATCAAAAGAATTGTGCAGAGGAGATTTCTTTTGAGGCAAGTGGTGAGTACACATTTAATAAGGAACAAAGTATTGCAGTACCATCTGAAGTAATGAGTTTGCTAATACTTTTTATGAAAGTAAAGCTCTATATTTGTATTTCAGAAATATTTACATAATAATTCTTATTTTTTCACAAGTATAGGATTCATAAGAATATCAGTATGCAATTCAACAGGTCATAGACTGAGAAAGTTGGCTGAAGTGGTAACTCTTCCTGACATATTCAGGAGATCCTGGTTCAGATCTAGGCTGGGAAACTGTCATGACTGAGGTTTTCTGAGGTTTTTCTCAATCCTTCCCAGCAAATTCTGAGACACTTCTTCAAATTAAATCAAAGTTGTTGGTTGGTTTTTTGGTTTCCAATTGCTTCATTTGGGATCATTTAACCCATTTTGCTTCTTGCTTCCCAATAGAGAGCACTGAAGTTCTTACTTTGTTGTGTCTTGAAAAGGTTTGCGCTTTTCTTTTGGGAAGCTTTGCCAGGGTTGCTGCTCATTTTGCACTACCCAGGGGACACATATGACTTAAAGAATGTCACGGACGTGAGCAACTTTGTCCCCCTAAATCAAAATTGTTTCCTTCCACATTTGTTGCAAGTAATCATTCATTAATCATCCTATCATTTCCTTTATATAATCTGAGATATTTGTAGCCTCATTAAATAAACCATAAATGAATAAATGAACAGATGTCAGAAACGGTTTTTTCAGTTACAACATGCCAGGGATGATGTATTAAATAATATAGGGAAGAAGTTGCAAAAATCATGGTTGTTTGAGCCCTGATAAAAGATCTAACCTGCAATAGTGGAAGAATTAAAGTTAACTACTTTTTACTTTGAATTAGAGTTGTTGGATTTTCTCATGTCTTTTGTACAAACTAAGTAGATCTTTAGGCATGTGTCACAAATGTATGATGGTATATGAAATTGAATTTTGATTGGCTTTGGTGTTTCAAGCCTTTACTGCAATTGATCTACCTTATGCATGGAATCCCATGTTTGATCATCTGGGGAGAAACATATTCTTAATCAAATAACCCGTGACTAACACAAACATCATCGATTATCAATTCATTATTTGCTAATTATCCTCCAATTTAATATTGCCACGTTTAGGGTGGTACGTCTGGCGAATAATTGTCGATTCTGGTTTTGATGATTGGATTTATTAGCACCTTGGTTACAAGTTCTCTTAATCACACTTCAGTACAGTGCTGTTGATGATTTACACACTTTCCAGTTCACCATTGTGCATGCACTAGGATTCCCATTCATCACTAGTCTCCTGGCAATGGATCCCAACACAGAAATTAGCCCTTCAAATCACTTTGAAGTCTTTTTGCAATTTTGTCTTCAATCACTGTGGAACCATGGAACTAAAAATTCTTCTGGACTCACTTCTCTGGTTTATGACTGACTCATAACTGCCTGTGAACTAAAACTCTCACTGTGTTCATTTCTGTTATGAGCACTCTGCACACTGCACTAGTCTCTCACTCTAGTCTAAGCTATAGCAGATACTTGTTATGTAAGCTTCACAGGGACCGCATAGAAAACATCTTTCCTTCTTGACTCCTGTTGTTATAACGCACTCAACTGAAAGTTGTTTACAAGTTGTTGCCTAGAAATGGCGATTTTTTCTGTTGTTGCCTTGTGTGTATTCAGTTGCAGGGTGTTTACCAGTCCATTACCTACCAATGCTCTGGCCATCCACATAAAAATGCTTATAGTGTTAGGTGTTGACGCCATTCTTACGTAAAGCCTAAATGAATAAACAAATGCAAAACTGCTTCTTCAATTACAACATTGTTTAAAATGCTGTCTAAAATGTCTAAAATATATGATGTTGATATAATGATACAAATTCCGTCCCAAGTGCAAACAATATATTATGTGTCCTTGATCTTGTTCACCTACACTACATGTTTCGGCCTCAGACGGCCATCATCAGGTGTATAACACTCACGTCGCTGTCACACTGCGCTCAGCCCAGAATTTAACATTTAAAACACTTTCCCTGTTGTTATCAACATCTACTTCGTTGATATCTGTCTGGATGTAGATTATTTTACACACGTTAATTTTGAAGTACCTGTAGTAGCACTATAAAATCTTTAGTTCTAATTTTAAAATCCTTTAAAATTTTTTCTCTAAATTTTAAATTTAAAATTGTTAGGGTTACTCGCCCTATGTCTAAAGTGCTGCAGCGGCTAGTTCTTGTTTCCACACTGTATAGGTGTTATCCTGTGTAGTCTTCCTGTGTGCGTGCCGCTGTTATTCTATACTACATGTGTTTTAAATGTTAAATTTTGGGCTGAGCGCAGTGTGACAGCGACATGAGTGTTATACACCTGATGATGGCCGTCTGAGGCCAAAACATGTAGTGTAGGTGAACAAGATCAAGGACACATAATATATTGTTTGCACTTGGGACAGAATTTGTATCATTATATCATTTATCGTATGGAGTGCAACAGGATGCTTAAATATAATATTATATGATGTTTTTAGTGATGTGAATAAAAATGAGTGAAGCATTACATTAAAGACAAAGTTCAAGTTTGAATTTAAAACTATGGTTTATATTTCTGTCATGCAATTTGTTACTATTGAGTAAATATAGAAATATGGTACAGAGATTTAAAATGAAAGAGAAATGGAACGGTTAACAAGTAAAACATGTAACTTATAGCATATGCTCCATGTATTAAACAACTTTATTCTGTTTATTTCATCTTTCAACATAATTATTAGTAGCATCAGAATATAATACTCACTATCTTCTGTGATCTGTTGTTGAGCCATGGCAGTGCAGTCAGTATAGCGACTGCAAACGGGCTGGATGACCGCGGGTTTGGAGTTCGACTCCTGGTAGGGTCAGAATTTTCTCTTCTCCATATCGTTCAGACTCCAACTTCCTATCAAATGGGTATGGGGGGCTCTTTCCTTGGGGGTAAAGTGGCAGGGGCGTGAAGCTGACCACTCACCTCCAGCAAATGCCGAGGTCAAGATGTGGATCTATACATCCACTCCCCCATACACCTTCATGACGTAGTGCTTAATTAGTTAAGCATAGGGACAACTTTACCTTTACCTTCTGTTATCTGTTAGCAGAGATGGAATAGAAGTATATTATTACTGATTTTAGGCTTTTGCAGTGGTTAATTACTTATGTTAATATTGCTCTTGGGTTGTTACACTGTGTGATTGTGAGCAATGTTACTGCCAAGAAAGAACTTCAGAAAGTATGTTGTTACTGACAATTAAAGTATGATATAATGACTTTGAAAACATAATGGGGTTTTGTCATATGTATTCCTAACGAAAATTTTCCTTTTCAGGGTCTGGAAATATACTGTGAAAGCAATAGCCAAGTGACCCATCTGTATTTATCATTGAAATCTGAAGCAGAAAGAGATGCACTGTACCAGGGACTTTTGGACCAACCTTCTGTGCACCTGGAGAACACAGAGCAGGAGATGATGACCCTGCAGTGGCAAAATGGAGTATTGTCTAATTATGATTATTTGTTGTATTTGAACAGGTATGAAACTTGATTTCTTTCAGCTGCTTCAACTCCTTTGTTTCTGTGTCCCTTGTGCTCTGTGATTGGCTAAATTCAGAATGGATTTTCTTTGTTTAATTTGTACTCATCTTTAACCAAAATTTCCTATTTGAAAGTTGTGTTGCATAGAAAATGTGAATACTATTTTTCATTTATATTGAGGTTAGGAAGGTTATGGCTGAATAATATTGAGGAAAGATGAGTTTTTTTAGAATAAAAATGTGATTTCATTCTGATCTCTGTAATGTATTATCATAATTTTGAACCTGGGTGTGTAACTGTTGTATTTCCCTATATTCAACATACTTTCAAATCTCTCATTATTCTTAATGTAGCATAAGAGAATACTAGTAATACACACTTGTTGGTTGTTAAAAAGAAAAGGTAGAGTTGTCCCTGTAATAGGCCCGAAAGGCCCACAGACTTGTGAGACATTGAGGCTTCCACATTTTCTCTAGACATTCAGCTCACAGATGGCAGTAAGGTTGTCGGCATTACATACTGGCCACCATTTACCCCCCAGGAAGATTCCTGGTACTCATTTCTGTTAGAGGTTGAGTCGAACCCAGGGCCATAGTGCAGTTGAAAGGATTAGGTAAATTGAAATAATCCACCTCATTGGCACTTGAACCCACAAACTTCCAGCGTGTAGCATAGTGCCTTGATCAGTTGCACTACCATGATTGTAGTGAATACAGTAAGGTGCCTAACATGGGGAATTCCAGTGGTAATAACATACTGACACATGTTGATTGGTATGCGTGATGAAATGATGGGTTCTAGTTCAGATGATTGGATTTATTAACGCTTTGGTTACACACACTCTTAATTGCACCTAAATTACAGGCAGTACATCGCTATCACTGATTGACACACTTTCCAGTTCACCATTGCACATGCACTAGGCTTCTCATTTCCACTAGTCGTCTCCTAGCAATCGGTCTCAACACAGGAACTGTCACTTCAAATCACTACAAATATTACACATGAGAACTTCCAGTCACACTTAAAAATCTTCATAGGCTGACCTCCTGTATTTTTCTGTACCCTTGGTTCCACTACACTCTGTTCACATGCTTCCACTTCTACTACCTCTCGTAACTGCCTTCAGCTGAACTATGTCACTCACTTATATAGCTGAGGGACCAACATCTACCAACATTGAACACATATCACATGACCCCTACCCACTGTTGCTGTGTGATGTCACTGTACACGCGCACACTGACAGACAAGCAGGAAACATGATGTGATGGCCACTTAATGTTGTGTGACATCACAGTATGTGCGTTGCATAGCAGCAGTCCATCTGCAGATGTAGAAAATACTGTTCCTGTACTGTTGGCCATGTGTGAATTGCAGGCGTTGTCTAGCAACGACCGATGTTTACAGATCTACTGCCTAGCAATGGGTCTACACACCACAGTAATTTTATGACACTTTCCCTCCTCACCCTTCTTTAAATTCATTAGAAGTGCCACTTGCACTTATTAAACTTGGGTAGTCCATCTGAACACAAGAAAATTGAGAAGCAAGATAGTGAAAGACAAAGGTGCTGTGGTTGTCCAACCATAGCAGCCACTTCTAGTCTGAAAGCTTTGCTCGCAGACTCTGCATGAGGGGCAGTAACAGAAGTAGCGCTATTACAACAGAGTTGTAGTTGGTGAAATGGGAAACGGGAACATCAAAGCAGTGACATGACAAAAATTTGCATTATTGAAAAACTATGGATGCATATAAAAAATTCATGGGCTGGGCAAGGAAAAATTATGGCCTAAATTTCAAGCTATAAGTAACTTGCTGAGAAATGAAAGTTGAGAAGGTGACTGAGAACCCAGTATTTATTTCAAGTGTAATTCAGCAGTCCCCTAGAACAGGTATGGATGCCGCTGATTGCAAAGTCTTCTGTAGTGCATGCCTCCTATCCTGTCCCACTTTCCCTTCTGCCCAAACTGCCTGTGCCCTGCCCATGGACATCAGTATTTGCCTGTGCCTGCATTCAAAGAGTATGACGTTTAAATGCTTGTGTACCTTCAGAATCCTTGAGATATATGTCTGTTGGAATGGAACATTTGGATGACAGTCAATTCATGAAGATGCAAATTGCATGATTAATTACTTAAAATCATATATATTGTCACATGTATGAGTTTGACTGTACAGGGGATATGGATTGGTGATTCAGTTTATTGACCACTTATACCCACAACTTGTAACTACACTTTATAGTTCCCTGTTACATGCACGCATCCCCCCCCCACACACACACGTGTGTGCACGCACAAGTTCTTAATCTCCTACAGTCCCCACAAGTTGTTCCCTGGTCACGGCTTCTAACCACAGAGATCCTTCTGCTCCCATCTGCACATTGTTACACTCCACAGTTGACCCATTGCTTCAGCTGACTAACTCCCAGGCTGGTATACATCTCACACCAACCCCCTAGTCTTCACTTCACACATTAACTACAACTCCAACTTGTCCTGGTTATCACATCTCGGCACAGACCACAGAGGAAACACCATTCCTCATTGTTGTAGTTCAATTGTTGCTGGCTAGAAACCTGCTGCCTAGCAGCAGGCATTGTTTCATGTGTTTCACGGTCACTGCCTAAGAACGGGTATGCTTGCTACCATATTGACCAGAAATTTGTGGCTAAGAGTTATGTGTTAGTATTTAATTCCTTTATAATCTCTTGTCTTTTAGTAAAGGTGCATATATTATGAAAAAATGATGCAGAGCAGAGTTCTTGAGAAATTAATTCTTGCTATTCTAGTAATGTATTTCTCTTTATTTGTTAACTTTGTGTTCCAGTATGGCTGACAGAACATTCAGTGATCTAACTCAGTATCCAGTTTTTCCATGGGTGATACAAGATTACTCGTCTCTGAAGCTGAATTTGGATGATTCTAAGTCATACAGGGACCTCAGTAAACCCATTGGAGCTCTGAATGAGGTTCGTCTAGCCAGATTAAAGGTCAGTATGGAATGATGTGTTCTGCATTATGAATACATTATTATGGTTAAGATTATATAAAAGATTGAAATAACTTTGTCAGAGTTTTAACCAAAAATGTTCAGTTTATTTACCATAAAACTGTTTGATTTAGCTTCTTTGTAATGTTGTTATGTTACAGTTCATTACTTGTAGCATTATTGCCTTCATTGCAGGTGTAAAGTATACTATATTGATATATAATGAATTCCTCCAGATTAGCTTAGCTTAGATTTGGTCTGAAGAGCCATGTAACTTCGTAGGTTGATAGTGAACCTTTCTCCTATGGAAAAGTAATTTATTCTCACTAGTTTAATCCCTAGAGTTGTAAATGCTCCTTTCAAGTGAGAATATTTAAAATTGTGTTTTTATATAAGGTCTTAGCTCCATGTAATTAGTTTTTGTATAAGTATGCATATATTTGGACTTGCATGTCCTAGTTACATAGGAGAAATACGGCATCCTTATTAGTAATAAATTTGAGTTTCAAACAAATTTCACATTTATGTGCAAAATTAATTGATCACTGATTTCAAATCTGAGTCCACATGCAGTATAGTGGATGAACTGTGTTTTTCAGGAGCGCTGTGAAGAAATGTCTCCTCCAAAGTTTTTGTATGGTTCCCACTATTCGGCACCAGGGTTTGTCCTGTTCTATCTTGTGAGGAAGTATCCACACTATATGCTCTGTCTTCAGAATGGAAGGTTTGACCATCCTGATCGTATGTTTAACAGGTAAATCACATTACTCAGCTGTTGAGATACACATGTAATTTGTGTGTGTATGAAATTAACGGTGAGATTATTAACTGGGACTATAGAAAAAAACGTTAAATGAAGGTTAGACTGCAATTAAATCATTGATGGTATATGTCTTCTTATTTCTTAGTGTTCCTGATGTCTGGAAGAATGTCATGACAAATATGTCAGATTTCAAGGAAGTGATTCCAGCATTCTATGATACCGAAGGAGTTGGAGACTTTTTGGTTAACACATATGGAATTAACTTTGGGTACAGACATGATGGTACTAAGAATGGAGATGTACAGCTCCCCCCTTGGGCTACTGGTACATAATTCAGTCTTTTGTTCTTACTGCTGATATTAGAAAAGTTTGTGCATATCTACATATGACTTACTTACTTACTCATGGAGCTGAGCCCTTCTTGAGGAGCTGCCAATTCTGCAGCTACTCAAGAATTTCCCAGCATTTTATGGAACCCGAAGGTTCATTACCATGTTCACAAGAGCCCTCCACTGGTCCCTATCCTGGGCAAGATCTGTCCAATCCATACCATCCCATCCTATCTCACTAAGATCCATTCTAATATTGTCCACCCACCTACACCTTGGTCGTCCCTGTGGTCTCTTTCCATCCGGCTTTCCCACCAATAACCCATACGCATTCCTCGTCTCCCCCATTCGTGCTACATGACCTGCCCACCTCATCCTCCTTGACTTGATCATTCTAATTATACTTGGAGAAGAGTACAAGTTATGAAGCTCCTCATTATGCAATTGTCTCCAACTTCCTGTCACTTCATATCTACATATGACATATGGAAATATTTCCTTTTGCTTTCATAGGGCCACAGGATTTTGTGAAAAAGCTTCGAGATGCCTTGGAATCTGATCATGTGTCCAATATGTTGCACCATTGGATAGATCTCATTTTTGGTTACAAACAAACTGGAAGTGAGGCAAAAAAGGCTGATAATTGTAAGCATATTAATTTTATTGTGTAATTTTGTCTTTGCTAAGTACAAACACTGAGGTAAAGCACAATCTTTTTTTCCCTGTTAGAAAGGATAGAAATGAATATGGTGAAAATTTGTCCTAATGAAATGAGTGCCCTTAATAACTTACAGTTTTGATTCACTAACTTAACTATTACATTCAGTTTTATGCCACGTAGAGATGTAAATCCTTAAGGTTCCACAAGCAATTCTTATAATTATGTGGACACACCAGTGTAGTGCCAAAGCTAATGTGTGGAACTTCACATCTGTGCTGTAAACCTAATGTCATAGTTCAGCAGTTTCCTTTTACCTTTCTTGTTATAAGTGTTAACTCACTCTATGTAACTGTGAGTCCCATTTGTTTCAGTTCTTCAGTGTTTACTGTTTACTTCACCTTGCTTCCAAAAGTTGATAATATGATGTGTGTTTATCTGTAGGTCTGAAAAACCTAATTCCCCTACTATGAAACGCATCTCTTGGTTTTCAGTGTTTTATTACCTTTGTTATGAGGGTGCTGTAGATCTTGATTCTATACATGATCTCAATCAGCGGCATGCTTTAGAAGTGCAGATTATGGAATTTGGTCAAATTCCAAAACAGATATTCACACTGCCACACCCACAGAGACGAACTGGTATCCCAGCTTTGATGCCAACAGGAGGTGATGGTTCTGCTGCTTCATCAGAGATGGGTATGTGTTATATAACATACATATGTTATATGTTTACATAACATTGTTATATAAAGATTTTTAAGTAGTTATTCACTGTATGAAATTTGAGGATCCCTATGCAGTGAATATTCAGATTATCGTTGTCTGGGTTGTGACTGTGTAGTCCAACAAGACATGCACTGATGTGCTCAAGGAACCCAGTGCCTGCTACCCTGAAAATTGAGGCAGCACATTCCCTCAAAATATGACATGTTCATATTGGTCATAACCCCACCTCACACATTCATGCCCCCCCCCCACATACACACACAGTGAGAGAGAGAGAGAGAGTTTCTTTTATTCAAAGAGGCAAAAGTTTTTAAATAGCTAACAGTAGTTTTCTAATTTGAAGTTGTGTATAGCAGAATATTTTGTTCTTTCTGATATTTATCTTGTTTCAGATGAAAGAAGCACATTGCAAGAGAGAGTACACAGTGTGTCGTGTTTCCCTGTGTGGCATAGCTTCAGCACATTGAAGAATATTGCCCCATTTCAGACCCACAAAGAAGCAGTGACTGCAGTGGCTGTTGCTGGAAACAAGCAATTTGTGGTATCAGTGGGACAGGACTCTCTTCTCAAAATGTATTCCATTTCAGAAAAAAGGCAGGTGCGCAGTGTAACGCTGTCTTCCATGGCATTATCATCATGCATCATTATGCCTGATGATAAGTCTCTCATAATAGGATCCTGGGACAATAACATGTGAGTCCATACACATTCTCTGCAGATGTACTGATAGTGTCACATGACATGTTCGAGCACCTAGCATATACTGTGTTTACTCATTCAGTCTTCCCCGATACTCTTAAGTGTTTTAGACTTAGAAGCATGGCCTTTAAATGGCTGTGCCATAGCTCAAGCAGTTAGTCACTGGTTTCACCCTGTGGCGGCCCGGGTTCGATCCCAGGTCTGGTCAAGTGGGATTTGTGGTGGACAAAGTGGCTCTGGTGCAGGTTTTCTCCAAGTACTTCGGTTTGCCCTGCCAATTTTCATTCCACCAAATTCTCCATCATCATAATCACCCAGGGCAGGTACAATAGGCCAAGTGGACCCAGTTGGATTCCACCCCACCCCCCCATCCCCACTAAGCAAAAAACAAAAAATTGCCTTCACAGGGAAATACAACAGCTAATCACAGTAGGGGCTTAGGGGTAACCTTCAGCAAAGTCCCTCAGTTGGTGCTTGACAGTGGTATGAGATGTTTTTCCTGAGCAGCTCAGTGCAGTGCAGAGCAGTGCAGTGCAGTGCAGTGCAGTGCAGTGCAGTACTATGCTTTACTGTCACAGTTTATCATTTGGCCACAGAAAATAAATTGTCTGAAAAATAATAAACAAGGTAGATTGCGCACTGTATATGACGGCATTGCGGAGGATGAAGACAAAGAGCTGACTCAGTCTCTGCCTAATTTCTGAGGTCATTTGGCAGCATATGTCAATTTGGCCCTGTACAGCATGACCTGACTGGAATCAGACTACAGGTGGCCCAGTCCACTCCGTTGTATAGCATTTTTCTGATTGGTTTTCACCCAAGCCTCATGTGGAAAGAAACAAATGTAGTTAATTAACTACAAGGAGCAGAGTCATACTTGATACGCCAATAGTTGCTCACCTAATCAATAAATTATGGAATCCTAAGATTCATTACCATTTTACAAGAATTTGCCATTTTGACCTTATATTGAGCCAGTTGAATTTAGTCCACACCCAAAAATATATTTTTTTAACCCTTTAAAGCACAGAAGTAGTTAATGTGTACCATTTGCTTTTTTATTTTAGAACTTTGCATTTTGCCCACAGCGTATGTTGTAAGGTCTGTTAGTGGCTGTAGATGGGTTTTGGATTGGTGAATAGATTTATCAATACCTTATACCATTAACTGCTTGTATTTATAAGCAATACCACACTATCACTGATGTACACAATTTACACTTCGCTATTATACATGCACTAGTCATACCCTGCTAACAGAATTAAAACAGTCTCACTATGATTAAATCCTCTAATCACACACTAAGTCTTCACGGGCAGACTTCTAATTCTTCTTCAACTACTTACGTCCCATGGCTGTCTCCTACCAACAACTTACTTTGATTCTCATTCTCGTATTCTCTGTTGTACTCCATTGTATGTGATTCTATTCCCATTCTCTTGACTCTTCTGTACTCCTACAGCTGCTAGCCTCAGAATTAGGCTCACTTATACAGACATGGCATAGACCACACCTCACAGAAACACAGCCTCTCCACTATTGTGTGACATCACTGTGTACACAAGAACATACCTAGCACATGCTGCATAGCAGCGGTCCATGTGCAGACCACAGAAAATGATGCCCCTGTATTATTCGCCCCATGTGTGTTGCTGCCGTTGCCTAGTAGTGGGTTGATACATCACAATATTCATGGGTTTTGTGTGATTTGCAGAATGAAAATTTATTATTTTTCTAAACAGCATTAATTGGTTTATACCAGGGAAACATTATGTTTTCTGTGAGGAAGAAATCAAATTCTTAAATATTATTTAGGTGCATTTCAGGCTTCAGAGGGTTAGATTAATTTTATGTTTATCTTGCTATCTGTGTCTATGTCTACTAAATCATCTTTTCCCGTTAGATTTTGTGACTAAAATTCTGTAATAGTGCTAAACAGAACAGATTTAACTTATTATAACCGTGCATTCCATATTGCATGTTTTATTTCACTGCAGCATTCTGTATAATATGGAGTTTGGGAGAGAAATGGATTCTGTTCGAGGTCATGAAGATGCAGTGTCATGTCTTGCTTGGGGCAACAAGAACCAAATTCTAGTGTCTGGATCCTGGGACTGTTCAGTACGAGTATGGCAAGGAATGGCCGAGGGGCGACGGATCAAACCTTCATCATCCTTAATAGCTCAGTTTGATCATGATGCACATATAAGTTGCCTTTCAGTGACCAGGTGATGAACTTCACTTAACATTATTTTTGGAGACTTTTTGTATTTTTACTTTTTTGTGAAGTTCGGCTTGCTTTGCTTAGTTGGTTAATGATTAATTGGTGGCTTTTTTGTGGATCAACTGCAGGAGTCTCTTATAAGTGAAAAATAGAATTTGATATGTGAGATTCATAGCAGGTTGGAAATTAAAATCAAAATCATTCCCAAGGTTAATAAGTGGAGCAAAGTAAGTTGAATATCTAAAATCCCCTTACTACTTATACGGTATACAGTGCAGAAGAACTGTAGGAAGATAGATGAAGACAGTTTAAAACACATTTCCAATACATGCCTTGCACTTTTTTACACCCGTCAGAAGAAAATCCAATATGTCTCTTGCTGTGCATTGAAATGTAATGTGAAAATACTCCCATCTAAAATGTGTGTCCCTGCTTAACTGTATTTCTGCATTTCATTTGATGAAATTTCACTTTTACTGGAAATGTCATTTCAGGTTTCTGCATGCAGTATGTGAGTGCTGTGAGGGATTTGTCAAGTACATTTCTGAAAGCATCCTGTAAAACTTCATGTGTATCACAAAATGTATATGTAATGTTGTACCTTTTAAATTTTTTACAAGCTGTGATTATGGAAAATATAACCATTTGAAGAAAGCAGTCTTCTGGGATTTGGCACCGTGTATATGTGGTGTTAACCGACGTTTCGGAGGAACGTATCGCCCCCATCTTCAGGGTTGAAGAAAAAGTTTAAGAAATCTGCAAGCGACAACACCGTGAGAAACGGTAAAGCAGT